TAATTTTCTCGAAAACTATGCAAGATAATTTCATGAAAGTCATCACACATTCGTTTCTACAAAAGATCTTGATTCCTGATGAGAACTGCCAGAATCGGTCCATAATTTCATATACCTCCCATACAATAGTACATATTCCCGGAAAATGAGTTTTTTGATAATAACTTGCGTCAGAATGCTGATATCTTCATTAAATTTTACAACTTAAAATCTTATGTCAGTAGAATTCATTGAGAGAAAAAATTTTCTGGATGGGTCCATAATTGGACATAGCTCCCATACAAGGTCCCTTCCCGAAAATCACTTAAACGCGCATAACTCATTACTTAATTAAGATATCCATATAAAAATTGGTACAAGTATTGCTCATATGCACAGAAATATAACTGTAAAATTTTTTTCCGATCGGTCCATCCTTGGTCATAGCTCTCATACTAGGTCCCCTCCAGAAAATCACTTAAATGCACAATATTCATTACTAAATAATGATATAGTTACAGAATTTTGAAATTTTGTCTTTATATACATAATTGGTCCTAGCTCCCATACAAGGTCCTTTTACGAAAATCTCTTAAACGCTTATTACTCATTACCAAATAAAGCTATTGATACAAAATTTGGCACAAAAATTCTATTTCAAAATTTTTTCACGATCGGTCCATAACATAGGTGCGGTCGGTCCTATGCAAGGTTCCCTTCAGATAATCACTTGAACACACATTACTTATTACTAAATTACGATAGTAGTAAAGACATTTATTATAGTTAATTTTTTAAATACATGATTGTTTTCATTCCAAAAATTGATAAGAACTATAGGTTCTATATTCGCTCTAAGGGGTATATGGTCACGGTTTTAGGGACAGAGACTTCATTATCTCAAATTTAGTACTACTTACATATTTTTTATTGTATATAATATATTATAAATATTATCGGCTTCAATTATGGCAAATATGTTAAACCGTTCTAGAGATATGGATCGGCAAAGTCGCCAAACTGTAAAAAAAATCGAGATTTTAAAAAATTTGTGGCCCCAGTGGCACGTGTTAACATCTTTCAATCATGCTCGAACTTTGGCAATCTTAAAATCTAACAAAATGAAACATCGGATTTCCTTAGGAAGCACCCCCTAAGCTCCCTAAAGAAATCCGACATCGATTTTTAAAACCGCCTTAATGTACAAACCGCCTTTTTAACATAATGGTAGTATATTTTAAATATTCCCTGCCAGCAATTTCGTAGTCGACTACGAGAAAAATTTACTTCTAGTTTACTTTTATAGACTGACTATTAGTTAACTACCATGTAATGCAGAGCTGTCCTGAAATTTTGTATTTGGCAATGTAAAGAACCGACTTTTAAATACTAACTACAAGCTAACTATAATGTAATGCAGAAGAGCCCCAAAATTATCTGGAGAGAATTAATTGTATTTCAACATGTGTTCTCTTGTTTCTCTATTATTATGATTTTATTTGTTAACTTTAGTAGACTGACTATAAACGAACAACAATGTAATGCAGAAATGTTCCAAAATTTGGTATTTATTAACGTAAACAACCGACTTTTAAAGACTAGCTACAAGCTAACTTTCATATAATGCAGGAGTACCCCAAAATTATCTGGAGGGCATTTTGTTTCGACATGTTCTTTATTATTATTTGGAATTTTGTTTAACATTTTTGTCATTTTCTTGTATACGTTTTGAAATTAGAGTCAGTAAATTGGAAAAATTAATTATAAAAGTTAAAATATTTCAAAACTCGGTCCTTAAATTCTAAATTCTGCTGATTAATACTGTAAATATAATACATTAACATTTTAAAATTTATTTTAGATTTGGATCAATGGGAATCATGGAAATAATTAACAAATCATTCATAATTTTATTAGTTCCCTATTAATTTTAATGTTATTATTAGTTCCCTATTAATTTTAACGAACTAATATCATAACTTGTATTAAAGCGAAATGTAATTTAGATAACTAGTGTTAAATTTTAAATATATTTAATTTAAATGTAATTAATTAATACAGTAGGGAATACAAAAGAATTACTTGACTTTTCTGCAACTAACTTTAAGTTAGTTAATAAAGAGTTACCTTTAAGCTAATTTTTTAGTAACTAACTTTAAGCTAGTTGAAAAGTCATGCAGAGTCGGACAATTGACTACTGCGTAGGACATCGCCATGTTAAAATAGACAGTGCGTCAGTATATTATTGGTTTGACACATACGCCAAACACTTGTTATTGAGAAAAACGAACAAGAAGGTTTAGATAAACTTTTCTCTAAATTTACGTGATAGATTTTCTTTAAATTTTTACACTTGATTTCGACATATGTTTTGAACAAAATATATTTTACATATATAGATTTATTAAGATATTAATGAAAACAAAAATTCGTTTTTTATGGTCTATATCAATTTTTTATTTTTGTTTTCCCTTTTTAGGGTCTAAATATATCCATACAAAATGAGTATTTTTTTATGCCCACCATCGAAAAAGATCCGAACGAAAACAGCTAGAAGGCTGAAATTTTTCACAAATATTTTTTATTGATGTAGGTTGCTTGGTATTGAAAATGGAAGGTGTCGGACAACAATTTCACCCATAGCCCCATATACATACATAAGTGTCCGCCCAGAATACAGTTTAAATAGTCAAACCTGGCTTAAAAATACCAGTATAGCGATGAAATTCACCAAAAACCAGTTTAATAGGAAGCACAAACACTCTACCAAATTTTATGAGGATCGGCCCATAAGTGACCCTACCCCTCATATATAGCCCCCATAAAAAATGACTTTAACTATAGGCTTAAAAATGTCATTATAAAGATGAAAATCGAAATAAGAACGTTCTATAGTAACCAAAATGTTTCAACCATAATACATTCGCAATCTGATGGTGTTTTTATAGGTAGTAAATCTTCTTCAAACATCCTAATGGCATGGAACTATAACAAAATGTCACACAAACAATTAAATACCACTTTATTAATAATTTCTTCGGAAAAAAAAACGGAGCTGGTGATGAAAATTGCATTTTTTACTTCGGCACTCAAATTATTTATGAATTGTTGTTGTTTATGTGCAAAATTTTGACTAAATTTGTAAGATGGTGTTACCAGATCAGCACATATTTTATATGTATACAAAAACTGTCAAATTGTGTATGCTGCAAAATAACAATCAGTGTAATAGATCTGTCAAAATCCATATACAAATAATGTAAACAAGAGTTTTAAGAACACCTTGTTATGTGTGCTTTGATCTACGTTTTTTTATGGCAGTGAAGCAAAACAATAGTGATTAATTTGTTTTCAATTTTTGTATGAAAATTGTGGTCTATACGCCAAACAGTGGCATATGGAGCAAAACAATATTTATTTAGTCTTAAAATTGTGGATATAGACCAAAGTTAACACCCGATATCTCGGAAATCGTATCAAATATTGAAAAATGGGTTTCGGAATCGGAAAGAGGATGTCCAAATTATATACAATCCACTCCTAACTCAATTTTTTTAAAAACGGTCGGTGGGTCAAACCAATAATATACTGACAAGTTGGCTCCAATAAAAATAATTCAAGAATCAACCATAATTAGTTGATGAGAAAGTTGGCTTTTAATGCATTTAAAGTTAGTTGAGTTGCTGCCAGGGTTACCATACTTTTTGGTTAACAAGTTTCTTCATACTCATACTGACAAACCGATTGCTTATAAATTTTCAGTTAGCCGTAAAACCGGTTTCTCCAAAAGCCAACTTTTTATAAACAATATTTATGTATAAACATACATACATACATATGTACCCTGCCAACAATTTTGTAGTCGACTACGAGAAAAATTCACTTCTAGTTTACATAATTTTATGGATACCGGTGTTATTATTAGTTCCCCTGCAGATACATCATAACTTGTTTTAAAGCGAAATGTAATTTAGATAACTAGTAGTTAAATTTTAAATATATTTAATTTAAATGTAATTATTTACAGTACGTGCTCGATTTGCGCAAGGAAATCGGGGCAATTTGCGAAATGTTGCAATAATCGACCACTAAAATCCCATACAATTTCATATAATTCTTAAACAAAAACAAGCAATTAATTGATGTTTAAGTAAATATATTTCTTATTAAAATAATTTTATATTTGCTATCATAACTTTGGCCGGTATACACAATTCTGTTTTTTAGGTGCCTATGACTGGTCAAATAATTTTAAATTACACTGACTGAAAAACAAAATTAATGAAAATAAAATAAATCAAAAACATATTTCTAAATAATGTTTCTTTTGCAATAAAAAAGTTAAAGTTGCACTTATCGCGACCATTTTTTGTAAAAAGTTTCTATTATAAAGACTGTAATGTTAAAAATTAGGCTGTTGGGCAAATCGGTCAGCTGCAATAATAGGTAGTTGCACAAATCGAGCCCGCACTGTAATACAGTAGGGCATACAAAAGAAAACTATTACTTGACTTTTCTGCAACTAACTTTAAGTTAGTTAATAAAGAGTTACCTTTAAGCTAATTTTTTAGTAACTAACTTTAAGCTAGTTGAAAAGTCATGCAGAGTCGGACAATTGACTACTGCGTCATCAGTTGGCTCCATTAAAAATAATCCAAGAATCAACCACAACTAGTTGATGAAAAAGTCGGCTTTTAATGCATTTAAAGTTAGTTGAGTTGCTGGCAGGGTATATACTTTAGGTGTTTTTATAATTATAACTTTTTTCACAATAGTTCGATGCTTTTCTATCAAAAATCTCTAATAGGGTTATTTGTAGTCATTATGAATATAACTTGACACATTCCAACAAACTTTATTAAAATTGGACCAGCGTAGTTTCGATAAAATCTCTAATCTTAGCTGTATTGTATTCTCGTAAAAAAACATTTGACAACATACCGCTTATTAATGGAAATATTTTTTTATTATTATTGAAAGTCTTGTTTATCATCAAAAATAATGCCTAAAAAATTAGATCGTTAATTAGTATTTTGTACCTGGTGCATATTCTGTATTGGTGTTAGATCTTGTAGACTTTCTCTAACCATTTCATGCCGCTGACGTTGACGCTTGTATGTGGTCTTGGACGGCTTTGTTTGTTTTTTATTCGCTTTGGGGCTGTCCTTCTTTAAGCCGTTACAAGCATCCTTTACAGGAAGGTACACAATATGTTTACCGACACATACATTCGTTAATGATTTCGGTTGTAACTGTGCCAATGAGTGCTTTGTCATAGACGATTTAAAGCAATTGTCATCAGAAGTTTTAGTGACCACAGATAGTGCTGTGTCATTTGTTTTCGATTTGTGCAGGACCCAATTGTCATTATGATAGCTAGTTAACTTAGTTAATGTTTTATATAGATCACAATCTGGTTGATGACTTTTTGAGTCGGCAGAAAATGAGTCACCAAAAATAGTTTGAAGATGGTAACTATTGCGTTTGTTGGTTGCTTTTGCAGCACAGGTACATTTACTGTTGATACGTGAGTCTACTATGTTTTTACCCAAGTGAGTTTTAAATTTTTGTAAACTGTTAAAGCCCGGTACCAACCAGCAGTTAGTAGCCTTTAAACTATTTTCCTGTTCCATGTAATTCATTGAAGTTTTTTGGCATTGTAAATGAACGTCTCGGGGCAAAGATAAACTAAAAATGTGCAACGAATTTGGATGCTTATGACTTTCTATATTTATGTTATCAGACAATTTTGTGTTTTTGCATTTCTGTTCTAAGTCATCCTGGTCTTCGTCGTCATCGTCATCAAGATCTTGCTGGGGTGTCCAATTATTTGTTGCTAAGGTTGGTGCGTTGTCCTTGGGTTTAGTTGTAAGACAAATAGGCGATTCGATTACATGGCTATTTTGCGCATTTTTAGGTTTGGAACGTTCATGCTGCAAACGTTGTTGTTCCTCCAAAAGATTGCGCCAAGCAGCAGCTGGACTAAAACTAGGTGTTTCAGGTTGCCTTCTAGGGAGGGTGGGTCGAACATGAACTAGTATACCATTGTCCACAATTTCTTCTTCGATGTTGTGATTTAATAGCACTATATTGTCATCTTCACCAGACTTTTCATCATTTCTACATGGTACCTTTTGAGTGATATCTGAATTTACGTTTTTTTTTGTTGTTTCCATGCCAAAATAAAATGTACGATTCAGCTGAGGTATACGTGATTGTTGAGTTTTATTTTTTCTTTCATTTAATAATGTTGGGCTTTCTGTTTCGCTCTCGTGCTTCACTTTCAATCTTATATCACTGTTTACATTCAAATTATTTGACTCTTGTGGTCGAGTTCTTTCCTCGTTTTTTTTTATTTCTCGTGGACAGTTCTTATCTGAACAGTAAGTATTTGTGGTGGTACTATGTATTTTATTTGAAATGAAATTGGCATGTTGCCTTGTAAGCTTTTCAATAACAGTTTCAACTACATTTCTATGTGTATTTGCTTCAAATTTATTGCTAACCTGCTGAGTTGAAAGACCTCCTTGCTTATGTATGTTCTGCTTTTGAATAGAATTCCTTCTTCTATCAGTGTAATATTCAGTATTCTCTTTTTGTCTTAATAGCACTGCATCAAAACTTTTCTCTCTTCGGTATGGTAATTTGCTAGCGTAACTCAAATTAGACTGATGATTTGGCATTGTAGAATTAATTGATGTTCGTGTATTAGATCCACGTTTTATGAGTGTTGTCTGTTGTTGTGGTTTACGGTTATGTGGCTGCTGCTGTTGCACTATTTGCATATTGCTATTTGTTGCATATATTCGGGGTTTAGCTAGAGAAGTGTTCTTTAAGTCGGCCGCTACATTTGCGGGAACAAGCCCAGAAGTAGTTTTCGTCGGAGCTGGTGGGGCTTTTCGTTTCTTGTTGTACTTATTAACTTTTAACGTAGACGCCGTAGGTGTACTTTTTACGATTTGTGGGTAAGGATTGTTACAATCGTCCAAATTCTTTGAAATATTTTCTTGAGATTTAGTTCTATTGTAACCAACATGTAATAGTGTTTGTGAGCGTCGGAATTCTGCTATTGGTGGGGCGGATTTCCGATGAGATATTGACTCGTTCTGACCATCAAGAATAAGTGTATGACAACGTCTCATCGGTTGAAATGCTGCAGGTTGATCCCTGTCACGATCCAAAGCTGAAATAGCAGTTCTTTCTTCTAATTGTTCTTTGGCGCGGAAGCTTATTGTACCACCCGCCTGTAAAATAGCACCGTTCGTTGTAGCTCTAAGCTTAAGGTTTTCTGTAGGTTTCGGCAAAACTTTACAATCATTTAAATTTCTACCGTTAGACCATTCTCCTAATATCACTTGGTTATGTTTATTTTTTGTCTCTCCTGTTGTTCGTCTTAAATATTGCTGAGTATAATAAGAATTCAATTCACTATCGACACATTCACTGTGTAAATTATGTGCACTTCCCGTATTTCCCATAACTAAAGGAAAGAAAGCTGTAAATAGAATAACAAAAATTGATTTTTAAATTAGTAAAGCCGAAAAATATCAAAGTCAACACAGAAAACTAATGGGAATAATTTTGATTAAATTGATAAAGACAACCAAATTAAGAAAATTTTATAGGTGTCAAAAAAATTTTTACTTACACGCAGAGAAAACATGGTTCGATATAGTTAGGGAAACTATTAAACTAACCAAACAATTGTTATTTTTATCATCAATAGTTATTGTAAATGTTTATATGTTTATGACAATTATAAATTTGAGAATGATTCACTGAAAAATAATTATTTTTACAACAAATATTTAATCATAACTATACAAACATATATTACTTAGAACCATTTAAACTTTTACATAACAATGAAATGATAAGTTTTTACACGTTTAACCATACAATGTTTTAGATATAAGCAAAATATGTTTACTTTTAAAAGTATTTTGGTATCGGCATTTTTACATTAAATCTTTAATTTATCTATACTACTTAGATCGGATTAAATAAAGTGTTGAATAAACAAAGTATTAAAACAATTGAGAAAAAAATTCTAATAATATAATTGTAGACAAAAGTATTAAATTTAAAATAAATATGAAATATTGTGCATAAAAAATTAATAATTTTAAATGTCACAAAAAAAATTATTAGCATTAATATTATACTAAAGTACATAAAGAGAGCTCCGCTTCCCTAAACGATATTAAATTAAAAATTCAGATTATAAAAATATGTATGCATATGTAAAATGAGTACAGATAAAAATTTTTATAATTTTTAAAATTATATGTGGCATCACTGGATTCCTTACACTTATAAAGATATTTAAAAACAAGTAAGAGTGCTATATTCGGCTGTGCCGAATCTTATATACCCTTCACCACAGTGTATTTAAAAATATCAATTCTATAAAATATTAATTTATTACATTTTCCCGTTTATATCATTATTATAGCAATAGCAAAACGAACAACAACAACGCTAAACGAAATAAACACACAAAAAAACAAAATACACAAGGCAGTAAACCCAACAGCCATCCAAACATACGAAACGAAATACACAAAAAACAAAAACAAAATAGACAACGCAATGAAACCAACAGGCATCCAAACATACGAAACTGAATACACCAAAAAACAAAAACAATATACACAAGACAATGAAACATACGAAACGAAATACTCCAAAAAAAAGCAAAAACAAAACAATGCAATGAAACCAACAGACATTCAAACATACGAAACTGAATGCACCAAGAAACAAAAACAATATACACAAGGCAATGAAACACACAGGCATCCAAACACATGAAACGAATACTCAATGAATAAGCAGTGTTGTTGTTGTTGCGTATATCAAAGCATGAAAAAATTGTCTTTTTTATGAAATTTTCAGAGGTTGTCTCGGATTTTTGCTCATATCTCCGGTATTTATGGACCGATTTTGCTGATTTTAAATAGTGATCTTCTCGAAAGCATGTCTAACAGAATTATTGAAGATTTGGATCTCGCCGATATCTGGGGTCCTCTAAAAACTGATTTTAACAAACACACAGACGGACAGACAGACAGACAGACGGACGGACAGACAGACGACGCACAGTGGTATAGGAAAAAAAAAAGAGGGAAATAATTCGGTAACTTCTAAACGGTTAATCCGATTTTAATGAAATTTGGTGTGCACAAAGAGGAGGTGTTGTCGAGTTTAGGTTTTGAATTTGGACCTTATAGGCCAACCAGGGGCCCGGCGGGGGGTCATCTAATTAGGACACCTCGGCTATGTTAAATTTTTAAAACGATCCTATTTCTTCATTTGAGTTCCGATTTAAAAAAAATTTCGTATATAGAATCTCCTCATCGAGCACTATAAAAAATGTTGTCATAGCAGTAAATTATCTCTTATAGTTTAGGAGATATTCGCATTTGAAAATTAAAATTTTAAAATTTTTACCGTCCTTACTTTAGTTTTTTTTGATAATAGCAGGTCCAAATATTCCCGATTTTCGCCATTTTTTTTTATTCGCTTAACAACAAGTTTATATATCAAGCAGTGAAAGAATTATGTAAAAATCATGACTGAGTCCAAAGTTATAGGCATTTTAATTTAAAAAATTAAAAAAAGGCGATTTTTTGTCATTTTTTTGGGAAAAAAGTATCTTTTTCTTTTTAAGTTATCTAAAAAGTTTCTAAGAAGATGTATATAGAATTTATACTTTTTGGAAAGCTGACTTTACATAAAGTACGATAAATGAAACAAAACCTAAAAATTTTTGATACCGAGGGGACCAGGTCCATCCAAAAAAACCCTATTTTTTATGGAAAATTAAATTTTGAGCAAAAATTCTCAAATCGCATAGTCGATATCAAATTATAGTGACCTGTTTTATATGACCCAATATGTTCTTAATCATTTTGTAACGGGTTTCGATAACCCCGCCCCTGGTATGGATATAATAGGCAAAAAACTAAAAAATCCCATTTTTGGGATTTTTTAAAACTTTTTTGGGAATTCCGGGATTTCTAATAAGAAAATTCGAAATTTTGATTTAATTTTGGATTTTAAGTAAAAAAATCTACCTAACTGTAAAATTTCATCAAAAAATATTCATAAATAAAATTTTTATTGCAATTAGAAAAATTTGTATCTTCGCAAAAACTGAATAAAAAACATTTTTTAATTTTTTTTAAAAAAAGTATTCCGCGAATTTTTTAATTTTCAAAAATTATATACAGTTTTGAAAAATAGACAAAATTACCTTTCCATTGATATATAACATGCCTACCTAATGTTTTTTAAGTGACAAATTAATTAGGGAAAACTCAACATCTTTTAGAAAATTTGCCTAGCACTATTATTTTCATCCATAAGGTTAACTCTTAAATTTGTTACATATATGGATGAAAATAATAGTGCTAGGTAAATTTTCTAAAAGATGTTGAGTTTTCCCTAATTAATTTGTCACTTAAAAAACATTAGGTAGGCATGTTATATATCAATGGAAAGGTAATTTTGTCTATTTTTCAAAACTGTATATAATTTTTGAAAATTAAAAAATTCGCGGAATACTTTTTTTAAAAAAAATTAAAAAATGTTTTTTATTCAGTTTTTGCGAAGATACAAATTTTTCAAATTGCAATAAAAATTTTATTTATGAATATTTTTTGATGAAATTTTACAGTTAGGTAGATTTTTTTACTCAAAATCCAAAATTAAATAAAAATTTCGAATTTTCTTATTAGAAATCCCGGAATTCCCAAAAAAGTTTTAAAAAATCCCAAAAATGGGATTTTTTGGTTTTTTGCCTATTATATCCATACCAGGGGCGGGGTTATCGAAACCCGTTACAAAATGATTAAGAACTTATTGGGTCATATAAAACAGGTCACTATAATTTGATATCGACTATGCGATTTGAGAATTTTTGCTCAAAATTTAATTTTCCATAAAAAATAAGGTTTTTTTGGATGGACCTGGTCCCCTCGGTATCAAAAATTTTTAGGTTTTGTTTCATTTATCGTATTTTATGTAAAGTCAGCTTTCCAAAAAGTATAAATTCTATATACATCTTCTTAGAAACTTTTTAGATAACTTAAAAAGAAAAAGATACTTTTTTCCCAAAAAAATGACAAAAAATCGCCTTTTTTTAATTTTTTAAATTTAAATGCCTATAACTTTGGACTCAGTCATGATTTTTACATAATTCTTTCACTGCTTGGTATATAAACTTGTTGTTAAGCAAATAAAAAAAAATGGCGAAAATCGGAAATATTTGGACCTGCTATTATCAAAAAAACTAAAGTAAGGACGGTAAAAATTTTAAAATTTTAATATTCAAATGCGAATATCTCCTAAACTATAAGAGATAATTTACTGCTACGACGACATTTTTTATAGTGCTCGATGAGGAGATTCTATATACGAAATTTTTTTTAAATCGGAACTCAAATGAAGAAATAGGATCGTTTTAAAAATTTAACATAGCCGAGGTGTCCTAATTTGAGGACCCCCCGCCGGGCCCCTGGTTGGCCTATAAGGTCCAAATTCAAAACCTAAACTCGACAACACCTCCTCTTTGTGCATACCAAATTTCATTAAAATCGGATTAACCGTTTAGAAGTTACCGAATTATTTCCCTCTTTTTTTTTTCCTATACCACTGTGCGACGGGCATAGCTTAATCAACTCCGCTACCTATAAGGATCCAGAATATATATATATATATACATTATAGAAATTACAAACGGAATGACAAACTTATATATACCCTTCTCACGAAGGTGAAGGGTATAATTATACGATTCAAAGCAAAACACATATAATGCACTCTCCTCTCTTCTTTCTAAAAGCTATGTTATTTACTTTTTATGTTTTAAAACAAGAAACAATTGTTTCTTGCTTTGTTTGTGTGTTTTTCAGTTCAAGCATACGTACGTGTGTCTTTTGTTTCTATGTATTAGTAACAACTTTAAATGCTTCCCTGCCAGTAACTCAACTAACTTTAAATGCATTAAAAGCCGACTTTTTCGTCAACTAGTTATGGTTGATTCTTGGATTATTCTTAATGGAGCCAACTGACTATTTTAACATGGCGATGTCCTACGCAGTAGTCAATTGTCCGACTCTGCATGACTTTTCAACTAGCTTAAAGTTAGTTACTAAAAATTAGCTTAAAGGTAACTCTTTATTAACTAACTTAAAGTTAGTTTCAGAAAAGTCAAGTAATAGTTTTCTTTTGTATTCCCTACTGTATTAATTAATAAAATTTTATTTAATATATTTAAAATTTAACTACTGGTTATCTAAATTATATTTCGCTTTAATACAAGTTATGATATTAGTTCGTTAAAATTAATAGACATCAGTTTTCTGCAGGGGAACTAATAATAACACCGGTATCCATAAAATTATGAATGATTTGTTCATTATTTCCATGATTCCCATTGACCCAAATCTAAAATAAATTTTAAAATGTTATGTGTAATGTTAACTGTTAACTGTTGATGTATTATATTTACAGTATTAATCAGCAGAATTTAGGGACCGAGTTTTGAAATATTTAACCTTTTATAATTAATTTTTCCAATTTACTGACTCTAATTTCACAACGTATACAAGAAAATGACAAAAATTTAAAACAAAATTCCAAATAATAAAGAAACATGAGAAAACATGACGAAACAAAATGCTCTCCAGATAATTTTGAGGTACTCCCGCATTATATGATAGTTAGCTTGTAGCTAGTCTTTAAAAGTCGGTTGTTTACGTTA